GTTGAAAGTTAGGGTTTATTCTTTTAAATTTATAAGTAAGATCTATTTTCTATGAGAAAGTGAGCTGACTTCACACCAGCGCAGGCTGTTTGTTTTTGTTTGTTGTTGTTATTTTTGTTTTTGTTTCTCATGCCTTTAGTTTCTGATTCTTTTTAAGATCTATAATACATGAAAAAGGAAAGGTGCATGATGAAACCATTTCATCATGCATCAAAGCAGAAGTCTGACTTTCATTTTTAACAAAAAGTGGACAAAAAAAGTATGTGATGGTAATTCATAGATTGAAAATTTAAAGAGTTTCTCCTGTTAATCAGAGCCTGTTACAGAGTTTATATGCTTTAATTAATCTAAATTGGTCAAAATTTAACAAAAAAACACCAAAAAATGATACGGGTGCATTTCAATCAGGTGCCAAAGTTCATTGGAGAGAGTTATACAATATGCTTCATTAATGTAGATAGTCTACTTGTTTGAACCAAAACAAACCATGCAGACTGGCTGTAGCTGACTTGTTTTGATGGAAATGCATAGGACTGGCTCCCCAGCATGTAGACCAGGCTCAGCACATAGTATTCTGCGTGCTCCAGCCATAAATCCTCTTTGCACGGCTGGTGATCAAACCATGATGTAAAGGAGCTTAGCAGCAATAGACAGTCAGGAGGGAAGCCGCTTCCCCGTTGCTCAGGGGTCAGGTGATCCCAAGCGACTCTGACAAAGAGTAAGAGACCAGTTAGACCACAAATAGTTTGAGAGAACATGTGCAGAAAAAGAAAAGTTATTTTTTAACACTCAAATAATCTTTTGAAACTACAGGCCAGGGTGGTTTTCAGTAGGAGGATCAAAGGTGCAAATGAGGAGTGTGGTGTATTTTTTCTGTTACAGCATAGAGGATGTTAAGATTGATTGATTGATTTTATTGATCTCACAGTGGAGAAATGTAATCATTACATCAGCTCAAATAGTCAAAAAGAAGAAGAAAGAAGAGAAGAAGAAGGTGCCAAAGGAAGAAAAAGGTGCATGGGATATGTATAGTACATAGGGTGTATATGACAGCTTTTTTTTTCTTTTCGTTTCTTTTTTTTAGCTGGATAATATTAGTATTTACATGGGTATTTCTATAGATGGGTATTTCTATATATATATATATATATATATATATATATACATTAGGGGTGGAACGGTTCACAAAATCCCCGGTTCGGTTCACGGTTTCGTGGTCACGGTTTTCGGTTCGGTTCGGTATAAGTTGATTGTTACACCGAAATCCCATAAAAATGAATGAAATTAATGAAAAAATCCAAAAAAATTAATGAATTGTAATTATTTTTAATGATCCGCTGAAGCCCTGGATCATTTCCATATGTTTTGCTGCTTTGAAATTAATAATCTCGCGCATGCCCTTTACGATGTCCAAGGAACTCAGAGCGGAGTGGACGGGAGCCACAGTGGAGGCTGTAGGCTTTGCTCTGTGCAGGCGGGGCGGAGCGCTGATGGAGTATGTGGGATTTCGGGGTTAGAATGACATGTTGGTCATGTTGCTGTTAGCATAAACAAAACGTGTTGCACAATGCTTGCACACTGTTGCACTTTTATCCACAACTTTCTTTCCTCGTAGGTCACTCTAAATGCAAAGTGGTCCCATACAGCAGACCTATAAAGTGCTGCTGGCGCGTCTTCCAACTCCTGTTCTTTCCCACTCTCCATACCGACACAATTCTCCACAACAACTGATTTTTCCCTGCTACACCCAGCTAGGCTGCTTCTTCTTCTTCTTCTTGTTTACTACTGGTGGTTGGCTTTGGTCGCAGTACCGCCAACTCCTGCTCTGGAGTGTACACGCTTCGCCTATGAGAAAAAGGAGCAGCGCATGAACCGAACGCAACACACGCGAACCGAACTGAGACAGTTGAACCGAACGGTTCGGACGGTTTTCATAAACCGTTCCATCCCCTATATATATATTAGGGGTGGAACGGTTCACAAAATCCACGGGTCGGTTCGATTCACGGTTTCTGGTCACGGTTTTCGGTTCGATTCGATACATGTTGATTGTTACACCGAAATCCCATAAAAATTTATGAAATTATTGAAAAAATCCCCCCCAAAAAAATGGATTGTAATTATTTTAAATAATCTGCAGAAACCCTGGATCATTTCCGTATGTTTTGCTGCTTTGAATTTAATCATCTGGCGCATGCTCTGTAACCTGACAACAGCCAGATGCTCTCCAAGGGACTCAGAGGGGAGCAGACGAAGCCACAGTGGGGGCTGTAGGCTTTGCTTTGAGCAGCCGGTCTGGAGCGCAGCGGGGGTTGCTGACGGAGTATGAGGGATTTCGGGGTTAGCATGACATGTTGCTGTTAGCATAAACAAAACGTGTTGCACAATGCTTGCACACTGTTGCACTTTTATCCACAACTTTGTTTCCGCCGTCATCGTAGGTCACTCTAAATGCAAAGCGCTCCCATACAGCAGACCTATAAAGTGCTGCTGGCGCGTCTTCCAACTCCTGTTCTTTCCCACTCGCCAGTCCGACACAATTCTCCACAACAACAGATTTTTTTTCCCTGCTACACCCGGCTAAGCTGCTTCGCTTCTTCTTCTTCTTGTTTACTACTGGCGGTTGGCTTTCGTCGCAGCACTGCCACCTTCTGCTCTGGAGTGTAATCGCTTCCTCTATGAGAAAAAGGAGCAGCGCATGAACCGAACGAAACACACCTGAACCGAACCGAGACAGTCGAACCGAACGATTCTGACGGTTTTCATAAACCGTTCCATCCCTAATATATATATATATATATTGCTATTGCACTGGGTGTCAAATTTAATGAAACAGGTTATTAGGCAGGGTATTAACTAGCAATTGCACATTATACATTGCACAAGTTATTGCAGTTGCAGTGTCACATTGTAGAGTCTGGTGGCAGCAGGGATGAATGACCTGCGGTAGCGCCCCTTTTTACAAACAGGGTGGAAGGTGTTGTCCATGATGTAGGTAAGCTTTGGGCAGCACCCTCCTCTCAGCCACTTCCTCCACTTCCTCCAGGGTGCAGCCTAGGACAGAAGCAGCCTTTCTTATTGGTTTGGTCAGTCTCTTTCTGTCCCGCTCTGAACTGCCAGGGGTCCAGCACACAACTGCTAAGAGAAAGGCTGATGCCACCACAGAGTCATAGAAGGTTTTAAGCAGGGGCCTGCTCACTCCAAAGGATCTCAGCCTCCTCAGGAGGTGGAGGCGGTCACTGTGCCTTCTTATACAGGGCGTCGCTGTTATGTGTCCATTCCAGTTTTTTGTTGACATGAACACCCAGATATTTTAAATTCTCCGTGATTTTTTTGTCCTGCCCCTGGATGTTCACAGGGGGGTGAGGTGGGGGTCTTCTTCTGAAACCGATCACCATCTCTTGGGTCTTACTGGTGTTAAGACATAGGTGGTTCTTCTCACACCAGTACACAAAGGTCATGATGACCGATTAATACTCCAGCTTGTTCCCCCCAGAAACACAGCCTACAATAGCAGAGTCATCTGAGAACTTCTGGAGATCACAGCTGTCCGTGTTGTAGGTGAAGTCCAAGATGTAAAGGTTGAAGAGCAACAGAGATAGAACAGTGCCCTGAGGCCACCTCTGCCTGACAGCTGTGCAGCTGCAGGTACTGAGGGTACTGATAGTTAATTGTCCAGGCACCAAGATGTTTGTCCACTCCAGTGTCTTCTAGTTTCCCTCTGAGTAGCTGTGGTCTGATGGTGTTGAAAGCGCTGGAAAAGTCAAAGAACATGACTCTCACTGCGTTCCCGGTGGTCTCCAGGTGGGTGACCGCCCGCTGCAGCAGGTAGATGATGGCATCCTCCACTCCGATGTCAGGTCGGTAAGCAAACTGCAGCAGCTCCAGGATGTGGCTCACCACTGTGCGCAGGTGAGCTAGGATGAGGTGCTCCATGGTCTTCATCAGGTGGGAGGTCACACAGGTGGTCTTCCACAGAGTGGGGACCACCCCTAGGCTGAGGCGCAGGTTGTAAATGTAGCTGAGGACCTTGCAAAGTTCAACAGCACAGTTCCTCAGCGGACTTGGAGGAATGAAATCCAGTCCAGAGGTTTTCCTCTGTTTCAGGTGAGCTGGCTTCTCACCTGCATCGTAGTGACTGTGAGGGTGTAGGGAGGCAGGACAGAGTGTGTGAGTGGGTTGGGGTTGGTGAGAGTGGCGGTGAGGGGGAGGGTAGGTCACTGCTGGCCTGGGGGTTGTAGACATGTTGAGAGTTGAGGACAGGGAGGGGGGAGCTGCTGTGAGGGGGTCAAACTGTGCGGAAAAATCAGTTTAACTCTGCAAAGTTGGTGTTTCTGTCTGCAGCCCTGCTGGTGATGGGACTCAAAAAAGCCGGAGTTGTTCTTGAGTCCCCTCCACACATCTCTGAAGTTATTTTGAGACAGCTGTTTCTCTATTTTCCTCCATTAGAGATCTCACTGAACTCTACGCTGCTTTTCTCTGTTCCCTGAGTTGAAAACACTTTTTTTCTGGTTCAGGAGGACTTTCAGCTCAGGAGTCACCCAGGGATGGTTGTTGGGGAAGCTCCGCAGCCTTCGTGTGGGCACTGTGCCCTCCACACAGAAGGTCATATAGTCAGTGATACATTCAGTCAGGCTGTTGATGTCCTCACCATGAAAGCTCTTGAACATGCTTCAGTTTGTGTTTCTGAAACGATCCCTCAGTTTCTCAGTGGCCTCATCTGAACTAATTTCACAGAAACTTTTCACTTCACCACTGACCTCTCTGTCACTGACCTGTGATTTCTTCACGTTAGATTTCTAACTGGATAAGTAGAAGGTTAATGGTGCCCCCTCTGCTTAAAGGAGGAGCAGATTTAATCCAGCTCCCTGGATTTTCATAGATTGTAATAATCTGAATTAAATGTGAAATCTAATCACAGGTGAAAACATACAAGCTTCATCTGTTGCTTCGTTTCTAACAAACCTTTCTATCTTTACCCTCACCCCTGCTGTGTACAGGTCACCTCCCTCCCTCCTTCCTCCTCCTCCCCTCCTCCCTCCTGCCATCTCTGCGGCGGTTGCCATGGAGAACTCTTCAGTGGCGTCTGCATCGTCTGAGGCCGGAAGCACCCGCTCACAGGAGATAGAGGAGCTGGAGCGCTTCATTGACAGCTACGTCCTGGAGTACCAGGTGCAGGGCATTCTGGGAGACAAGCCAGACGGAGAATTGGAGTTGGACAATGACAGCAAAGAACCACAGGTTAGATGATCGTTTCCTGAAATGTATTGCTCGCTTTGCTCTGAAATCTAATGCACTGCTCTCTCTGATTTGTAAAGACCATAACACAGCAGAAGCTTTCAATGTTCTTTCAACAGTGAATGTAACCATGGAACTGTGAGACCATCAACTGTCTTCATCCACAGTTTAATTTTCGGTTATGTTAAACAGTATAGGGCCCCATGAAATCTGTTTTTTATGTTTTTACAAAATCCCTTCACTGGGTTTTTATTTTTTCTCACTTTCACTTCAAAACTCTACTGTATAAGCCCAGAAAGGTTTTAATTCTGAAGGGAATAATACCTCAATAAATCTACACATCAAAAAAACAAGCAAATGAAAAAATAAAAGTTGTATGGAATTATTAATCTCATGTATTTGACAAAAAAAAAAAGAAAACCTTTTTTCTAAAACTTTAATACTTCATTGAGTTTAATTTCTGTGACTAGTTCTTCTCTTCTTTGAATCCAATCATGATGTGTGTGTACATGCATCAAGGTTTCAATCAGATTAAATCATTTCTGCGTCTGCGGAACTGACAGGTTTTTCGGAAAAATGACGGAAGAAGGCAACGCTAATGTTGCACACATCCACAGTCACAATTATTTTACTCCAAAGGTCTGCATGGGTGACAGTCGGAATTTTTTGCCAGCTGACAGGCATAAACCACCGCTCTCTTCCAGAATGAAACTGATCAGAATCATCAGTCTGACATGTTTACATGAAACATTTTTGATCCGATTAGGTCTTCAATCTAATTAAGTGTGTGCATTTAAACGTAGCTACTGTCATCTATACAATAACCACTGAGCTCTGCTTCTGCTGATGTAATCTTATTCTATGTAATGTGAATGTAGATGTAATTCTTATCATTAAAGTTGCCCTTTTATTATTTGTAATGGCATAAAATTAAATACTTTTCATAACTGACTGTTGGATTAGTAGTGGTGAAACGAAAGTTACGACTGTAACTACGGTTCTATGAATCCCGGATGACCGCCAGAGGCGGTGCTTAAAGCACGAATGATCACTCTTGCGCATGCACAGGTCGAGAATCTTATACCAACATAGTCACGTGTGACCCCCGGTGACACCGGTGTGCCTATATAGTCACGTGACAGCGACAGCTCAGTCCCTTAATCTTCTCGCGAACACACAATGATTCCGAGGGACCGAGCGCTCTGGCGGTCATCCGGGATTCATAGAACCGTAGTTACAGTCGTAACTTTCGTTCTATTTCATCCCTACTGACCGCCAGAGGCGGTGCTTAAAGCACAGATGACGATTACCAACAGAGTCCTGAGGAATCACACACAGAAACAACAACCCAAACATGCCCACCTCACTGGGAAGATGGCGTGCGCTGGGACAGGATCCCCTGCATTGGGTGAGGGGTGGCCAAGTTGACCCTGTAAAACCTAGCAAAGGTATTCGGGGATGACCAAGAGGCTGCTGAGCAAATAGCCTCCAGAGTGAGACCAGTCATAGCGGCCCATGACACACTGACACCCCTGGTGGAATGGCACCGTACACCAGCGGGGGGTTGGAGGCCCCGCTGAATGTACGCCTGTTCCACTACATCCACAATCCAACGCGCAAGGCGCTGTTTAGAAAGGGCCTGCCCCTTGCGGGGCCCCGCGTAGCAGACAAACAGATTATCTGCCTGTCGGAGAGAAGCTGTGAGACTGACATATGTCCTCAGTGCCCGAACAGGGCAGAGAAGCTCATCAGGCCCATCTGTATCAAGGCGAGCAAGCTGGAGGGGCACAGTGTGGCTCGCGGGTGAAGCCACTTTAGGAAGAAACGCCGCATTAGGCAAAAGAGTAACACCCGAACCAGCCGGGTTCCAACGGCAGCAGGACTCGTGAACAGACAGTGCATGTAGTTCACTCACCCGTTTCGCCGAGGCCATGGCGAGGAGAAAAGCTGTCTTCTTCGACACACACTCAAGGCTTGCCCCCGCCAATGGTTCATAGGGAGGAGAGCGCAGGGCAGCGAGGACAATAGAAAGGTCCCACACCGGCACAACAGGGCGTGTGGGAGGGTGCAAACGCCGGGCACCCCTCAAAAACAAGGAAACGTCCTTGTTACGACCCACCGTCTCCCCACTCACCACCGAATGCCAGCAAGAGATGGCAGCCACATAGACTTTTAGAGTGGATGGAGAGCGACCTTGAGAAAGCAGTGCTTGAAGGAAGGTTAAAATAACAGAAACAGGACAGTGTACAGGGTCCTCACTTCTTTCCTGACACCAGCGGCTAAAAGCCTTCCACTTATGGGCGTACACCAGACGCGTGGAAGGGGCCCTGGCGTTAGTCATCGTGTGTCCGATGTCTCCGCCATACTCCGAGAAGGAAACGCCGGGCCCTGCAGTGGCCAGACCCAGAGTCGGAGGCGACTGGGATTGGGATGCAGGATCCGACCGTCCAGCTGTGACAGCAGGTCCTTCCTGCAGGGAAGAGGCATCGGAGAGCTGCAACAGAGCCTGTGCAGCATCGGAAACCAAGTCCTCCCTGGCCACCGGGGGGCCACCAGAAGGAGCTGATGTCCCTCCTGAAGGACCCTCAGGAGTGTTGGGCCTATCAGGGGAAGTGGCGGGAAGGCGTAGAGGAGTGCCCTCGGCCAGTCGTGCGACAGCGCGTCCTGACCTAGGGGACTGGCACTGTCCGACAGGGAGAACCACAGCGGGCAATGTGTCGTCTCTCGGGAAGCGAACAAATCTACGGCTGCTCTCCCGAACCTCTCCCAAATAGTTTCCACTACATCCGGGTGGAGCCTCCACTCCCCGGGTGGTGGACGCCCCCGGGATAGGATGTCGGCAGGAACATTCTGCACCCCCGGGATGTGGGTCGCCCTCAGGCTGGCAAAAAGGGGCTGCCCAGGTCAGAAGCTCCCGGGTCAGCCTCAGTAGCATCAAAGACCGTGTTCCCCCTTGATGGTTGATGTGAAAAACAACCGACGTGTTGTCCGACCGCACCAGGACATGCCTTCCCCGCAGGACCGGGAGGAAGTGCCGCAGCGCGCGGTGCACAGCCTCCAACTCCAGAGCGTTGATGTGGTCCCGCCTCTCTTGTGGAGACCATGTCCCCCGAGCGATCTGTCGCTGCCACAAGGCCCCCCATCCTGTGGTGGACGCGTGGGTAGAGACAACTTCCCAACGGGATGGCAGCAAACCCAGCGGAACTCCCCTTATCATGAATCCTGCCTCTCGCCACTGAGCCAGCGATACGAGGCATTGAGGGGACACCTGCAATTTCCTGTGACGGTGTGACGCACGAGAAGGATCCAGCCTCAGGCTGTTGAGCCACATCTGCAGTGGTCGCAGAGACAGCAGCCCTAGGGGCACTACAGTAGCGGCAGCTGTCAGCTTCCCCAGCAGACGGAGATAGAGAACAAAGGGGGGGCGCCCGACCGGGAAGAAAGGCAGGCAGCATCTGCAGAATGCTCTCGACACACTGAGGCGATGGGCGAGCAGTCATGGAGAGAGAGTCCATCGTGATACCGAGAAACGTTACCTGCTGAGACGGAATCAGGTTGCTCTTCTGCCAGTTCACACAAAGACCCAATAGGTCCATGTGATCGAGCAAGGTGCGCGTGTCTGCAGCAGCTTGAGCTTCTGTGGGCGCACAGACGAGCCAGTCGTCCAAATAAGGCAGGATCTTCAACCCTCTGGCCTGCAGAGGACACAAGGCCGCGGCCATGCACCGAGTGAACACACGCGGGGACAGAGAGAGGCCGAACGGGAGAACCCTGAACTGAAAATGCCTGCCCTGAAATGCAAAGCGGAGAAAACGCCAATGCTGTGGTGCAATCGGGACATGAAAATATGCGTCCTTCAAATCGACCAAGGTGAACCAGTCGCCTGGGGAAATTGCCTGAAGCACGTCCCTGATGCTCAACATGTGGAAGGGGATGGACTTCATGTAAAGATTCAAACCCCTCAGGTCCAAAATTGGGCGGAGTCCCCCAGTCTTTTTGGGAATTAAAAAATACTTCGAGTAAAAGCCCCCTGGGTCCCGCAGGGGGTTGACGGGCAAAATAGCACCCTTGGCCAGCAAGGTGTCTATTTCTTGGCTCAGAGCCTGAGCTTTTACCTGGTCGCGAATCACCGTCATCCTGACTCGACCAGGGACAGGAGGGCGGCGGCGGAACTGTAGCGTGTAACCCCGGGTAAGTGTACACACCACCCATGGATCGGACACAAGAGCGGCCCAGCAACCGAGCTGCTCCGGGGTAAAGTGTCCCACCGCCGGTCCAGTGACGTCATCTCCGAGCCCCCCTGCCCTTCGGGGGGCGGGAGGGTTGCTGAGTTGCCCGCCCAGGTTGAGGAGCGACATTAGCTCGACCCCTCGGTGGATCGTAGTGGCCATGGGCAGGCCTGGCAGCAGGCCCTGCAGCAAACCGTGGCTGCCCCAAGCAAGGTGTAGTCCGGGCAGGACAAGCATATGACAGGGACACAGAGGCACTCCTAGTAGGACGCTGCGCTCGTCTGCGATGCAGACCGGCCAACTGTTGCCTGGTACGCGAGGCCTCGGCCGATCGTTCCAGGGCTGCAAGTGCAGCGGAGCCAAACAACTCCCCAGGAACAACTGGAAGGCCCATCAGGGTCCTTCTACATGCCTCCGTCAGAGGAGACTGAGCCAGCCAGACCTGGCGACGTGCCTGAACAAGGGTAGACAGGACACGTCCAACCTCCCTCGACAGAAGAGCAAATGCATGGAGGGACGCATCCATCAGTCCTTGGGTAGGTGCGTCGATCGCGACGCCCTCCAAGGAAGCCGAGAGACCGAGTAATAAATGCGACAGGGAATTCCCAAGTCGCCCCAAACGAGCCCCAGAGTCATAGGCTCTACAGAGCAGATCGTCAGTGACACGGCACTGAGGACGAGGACACCTGGCATTGGCCCTCAAAGCCTCATCCGGCGCCACAATGAGGGAAGCTATGGCTGGCTCAACCGAAGGCATATGGCCCAAGCCAAGACTGGGCGCATCATGCATGGCCGCCAGTGCCCTGCCGTCAGAGGTCAGCCTCGAGAAGGCCTTAGTGTCTGTCCAACAGGCATGGAGCTCCTTCACATACTCTGCAGACGGGGGAACCATAAAGGACGCCCTAGCAGTAGGACGCCGAAAGAAAGCACTGGAAGCCGCAGGTTGGTCCTGTGGAGCATCCAGATGCAACCGGGCGAGGGCAGTTCTCAGAGCGCCCACTACAGAACCATCCTCCTCTGACTGAGAGCCAGAAGAGATATGTGAACCGGCTTCTGAGAGGAGTGAGCCGGAGTCAAATTGATCCCGAAAATCAGTGCCAGACGCTGCCAGGGAAATGGCATCATCTTCTAAAGCAGAGACTCCCGAACCAACGCTATGTCCTTGGTCAGGGTCTCCAGACATGTCAGCGCCACGCTCGCCCCTAAGGGACTCAAGCAACGCCTTCATCCCTTCTAGTTCAGAAGCGAGCTGGGCCACCTGCCCAGATATGCCCTCCGGAACCCTGGGGCTCCTCTTGCTCCTCTTCCGTGGAGGCCCCATAGCCTCAGAAGACACACGTTTCACAGGCTGGCTGGCGCTTCGAAGGCCAGCCAAACGAGCGTTACGTATGGACAAAGGCAGGACAGAACAATTAGGGCATGCCGCATCAGTCAAGGCCTCTTCCAAATGATCCAGACCCAAACAAGAGGGACACAGATCATGCCCATCCTCCAGCTGGAGAGGGGCCAAACAAGCTCTACAGCACGGCGCGTCCAACATGTCACGCTCACAGGGCTAGGTCAGGTCGAGCCGAATTCGCCACTCTTGACACTCACCGAGCGGACAGATCGGGAGACCCGGTCGAGCAGAGAACGCCACCAGGGGTTCCCCAGCAGCAAGGCCACAAGAGAACTAGCCAAGCACGTTAGCAAAGTAAAAGCAAGCCCGAAAACGGCTGCCACGGTAACAAAAGCAAGCCCGGAAGCGGCTGCCAAAGTGAACAAACAAAAAAAGCAAGCCCGAAAGCGGCTGCTACGGAAACAGAAAAGCAAGCCCGAAAGCGGCTGCTACAGAAAACAGAAAAAGCAAGCCCGAAAGCGGCTGCTACAGTAAACAAAAAAGCAAGCCCGGAAACGGCTGCTACAGCAAAAAAGCAAGCCCGGAACGGCTGCCACGGTAAACAAAAAAGCAAGCCCGAAAACGGCTGCTACAGCAAACAAAAAAGCAAGCCCGAAAACGGCTGCTACAGCAAACAAAAAAGCAAGCCCGGAAACGGCTGCTACAGTAAACAAAAAAGCAAGCCCGAAAAACAGCTGCAACAGTAAACAAAAAAAGCAAGCCTGAAAACGGCTGCTACAGTAAACAAGAAAGCAAGCCCGAAAAACAGCTGCTACAGTAAACAACAAGCTGGGCGGAGTCGGCTAACGCCGAGGCACCAGCAACAGGGAGTCACGGTGAGAACGCGTCCCCGTTCGCCGTCGATAAGAGAAAAAAACTTACCAGACGAAGAAACCAAGCTGTAAATAATGAAAAGCTTGCGCAGCCTCTGGAGGGCGAGATGAGCCTCGCAGCTCCGACCAAAGTCTCGAGGCTACCAGCGACAAGCAATCAGTGTCGTACCACCTGTTCAACCCGCATGCGAGAAGATGAAAAGGGACTGAGCTGTCGCTGTCACGTGACTATATAGGCACACCAGTGTCACCGGGGGTCACACGTGACTATGTTGGTATAAGATTCTCGACCTGTGCATGCGCAAGAGTGATCATTCGTGCTTTAAGCACCGCCTCTGGCGGTCAGTAGGGATGAAATAGAACCAACGTTATTGGATGTGCGCTACACTTACCTTCTTCTCTACATTCATCCACTTCTCTCACATGCTACAGCTGTGCATCTGATAGATTTATAGTTAGTGGATCACCAAAACAAGGGAATCAAAGAAAATATTCTTGAATTTTCTGGTTTCCCCTATTCAGCTACTGCGATTTTATTTCGCAAGAATGAATCACATCTGTGCATGGGGCAATCACCTCTAGGCCACACTGCTGTGCTCTCTGTTTAATGTTTATCTGTTACCCCTCAGTAGACTAAAAACTCCCCTTTTGTTTGGTTCTTTACCAGTGGACAGATGACTGCATCAACCAGAGAGATGGTAGTTGGACGTCATCTCAGGGAAGAGGCTCTTCTAAACGTGTAAGTTGTGTCCAGATCCTGCTCATCTCTCACTTTTCTTTTATAGATTAGATGATGCATACATGCAAACAAACCTCCTAGTCTGGTTACAGATTACAAGTTTAATGTGGCTTCTACTGAAAACACTGCTCAGGTAACTGATATGGAGTCCTTAACCAACGGTCAATGTTTTATAACATAAAAGATGAATGATGGGGAATTATGTGGTGGATTTTTTGTTGCACCAGGTTTCTGATTGTCTTTATTGACATAAAACTAAGATTATGTACTTTTATGTTCTGTCACACTGTGTGTATTCTTAGTCATAAGAATTAAGGGTTGACAATTAATTGATTTTAACCCCAATAAACAAATAAATCATCCTTGAAATGTTTAAATTAAAAAACAGCAAAATAGACAAAGATTCTTAATATTTATCAAGAAGCTTTCCTTTTCAAATACAGGTCAGTTATCACTTATTGCTTCCTAGTTATCTTAGTTAAGCTTATCTTGTTTATAAATCTGCAGCTTGAATGTGCACAATATGGGCTTTTTGTTCAGAATATGTGCAACGTTACAGTTGTTAAAGCACTGCCGGAAAAACTTATTCAAATGTCACAGATTGATACTTTTTGTATCAGTAATTTATTTGTCCATTTATTTTGATTCTAATGTATCTTTTAAGTGGCCTGAATGCTCAGAAAGAGTTGTAGCAGCTTTGTGTTATACTAAAGAGTCAGAAAAATGCTGGTTAAATGTCTCCAATGTCACTTTTTTAAGGTGGTATCCCTAATACTGATTCAACTTATATCAAGCAACACTGGCTTCTTAGATTCTATGCTTACTCATCTTGAGGAAATTGCTGTGACACCAACCCTCTGTTACCACAGTACAGTGAACAGTCTTGTGTACCATGCAGGAATGTCTGATTAAAACGCAATTCCTCAATGTGATTACAATGATTAGATTATTTTATTTAGGCATTTGAATTGGATCTGTTTGTTTTGAAAAGTATCTTTTGATGCCATATTGCAGGACGAGTGGGAACACAGCAGCAATGGCAGTACAGGATCCAGACCCAGCTCAGGGTCCAGGCCAGGATCCGGCTCCCGCTCTGGGAGCAGAGGAAGGAACAATCAATTTAAAGGATCGCCTAAGGTACTGACATAATCTTTTTTTTTTTTTTTTGGCTATTTATTTCGGCATATTCATCAAAAAAAAAAATACAAATCAAAGTGTATTTATTTTTCCAGGTTCTTAGTAAGTTGTTCAAAAGGATTGAGGGATTTGATCCAGTAAAATTAATTTGCTTCTGTGTTCTTCTAGAATGGGAACAGAGATATCTCCTTTGACATCCTGGGGACGGACATATGGGCAGCGAACACAATGGACTCACGTGGGTAAGTGCTACATTTGCTCTGCCATCTCTGTGCTGTGGATTCTGGAGGCTCAGGTGATAAATGTGCTCTTATCTCAGGTCATAAATGAGTGCTGGTTGTATCCGCTCCACCCTCTACTTTCTCTTTTTGAACTGACCTGTCAGCTTTTGTAGTAGTATAGAGTTTGATATGCATTGGTGCTTCTGTTTTTGAAAGTTTTATGTATTTTTAAAAATAAATGTTTCATCCCCCATGGATTTATGTAGAAAAAGGGTCGCTTTAGTTGCTGTTCTGCAAAGAGAAAAGAACAATTTATTATTAAAAAAATACATCCTTGCAAAATGTATATAAATTACTTGTTTCCAAGAAGTGCTTTGAACAAGATTACTATAACAGTTTATATGCGGAAAATATATGAAAATCATCTTGAATTTTTTTAATTACCAGACAAACACGTCCACTTATGACATTTAAAGTAAAGAAAACATTTCATGATGTAATTAAATGTAATAAGACCAATGCACCTTAGAAGATCATAGATCTAATACAAAACAACAATAGTTTTATTTTATCCCTTTTGTTATTATTATTTAAACCCCATATTTAAGGACCTGTAAAGATTTCACTTTTCCAGCTTTTGTTTTGTTTTATTTGCCAAACAAAACCCCCAAAAATTGTGTATATCTGTTATGTTGTTGCAGAGGTGCCGGTTGGGACGTACAACCAGAAAAGCTGGATTTCAGCCATTTTCACAGGAAACCAAGAGGAATGCCAAAGCAGCTGCCCCACATTGACAGAGAGGGGTAAGATAAGTATTTATGTATCAAGGATATTTGGAATAACTAGACAGTTTGGTTTCGATTACTTCTCAGCTTCTGCAATATAAAAATGTGATTTATGCTTGTGATGTTAAAAAATAAAATTTCTGTGTTATATCTTTTTTGTAGCATGAGCACAAACACATTTGCAGAAGACGATGGAATAGACATGAATGGCCTGGAGAGGTTTTTACCTCATCTGTGCTCTGTAAGTAGTAGATTACTTTTTCATTTGTAAAACAAATATGCAAAGTACCTTTGCAGAGTACAGTTTATATTAGTTAGTATCAATAGAAAAGTGTTTCATGACTTTTTATCAAGGGTTTTGTTGCCATAGCTGATCCTCAGGAGGAAGCTTTGTCATTTATTTGTTATGTGCTGCCATCTAGTGGTGCAGTAGAGAAATATTAAGCATCTGATGCTCAATACAGAACTGGATTTTGAATTGGAACAGTTTTTATTTACAACTGCGTATTTTGACAACATTTTGCATTTAGGAATACCCTTTTATGTGTTAATGTATAGCTGGGAAAGCTAAGCGGTCAAACAAAATCAACAGAATCAGAAAACAGCTGGAACGCAAAGAAAAAAAAATAATACCTAAATCATTTAGGAGACATTGATCGAAAACTCTCTTCCAGAAAGTTCAGCTTCTTGGAAACTAAGTTCATAAGAAATATGCATTGATGTGGAAGTAGATCCTTTTAGTTTATCAGTTTAAATGTTATTCATTAATGAAGGTTCGGTGACACCTGCTGGTGAGATGTTAAAGTGATCCCCACTGGCCCAAAATAAATTCACCTTATACTCAGACATAAAGATTGCTATTTCCTGAAAAGTCAAAACAAAACTTAACCGTACTTCCTGTCCAGAGTCATAATGTATTGCTGTAAATGTGTTTTCCCTGTCTCGGATAACAAACACATTGGTGCTTATTGTACAAATTTCAATGTTATAAACTTTCTCCGATGAGTCGGGTCCAAATATCCAATGCTTTAATTTTCTTATACTCTATTTGTTTAATATATCTGAGTTCTAAAACAGTCTCCAACTCCACCGTGGAAATTCTTCATCTCTAATAATTATACTCATTATACTGCTTGATGTACAATATGTAGGGAAATGACCCTGTGGTTGGCTGAAGTTCTGGCATCACTGAATACGGACCAAATAAGGGCATTTGTTGTTTTAGTTCCTACTGTATGTCCTGCAGTTTAAAAGGTGTGCTCAATAACAGCTTCCTGATGTCATTATGCAGTCCCTCTGAGTACGAAGCGTCTGGCTTCAACACAGTGTAATTGATTCTGCAGCTGTGTGAGCAGAGCACAAGGAATGAAGCATTGGGTTTTTCCACAGTTAATTTTGATCTAATGAGGTGACTGGGTTCACCTCGTGTCGCCTCTGTCACAGTCCTCTTTTCCTTCCCTGCTTTCGCAGCCAAAATGGCTTCCCTCTCTCACAGTGGTTGAGCTCCAGGGCCTTCCTCTTTCCTTCCCCTCCTGCCCTTTGGATTGAGCTGTGTTTTGCCTCTCATGATGTTTTAGCCGAGATGCTTCTTGTTAAGCTACCGAGTTGGCATCTCTCTCTGTGTAGTTCCTGAACCAGGGTTGCAGTTTCCTTTCATTCACTTTGGACCTGAAGTAAGACGGGGGTCAGCTGCTTTTGTGTGGTGTGCTTGGGATCAGATTGAGGTTGATTTGAGGACAGCTTTCCCTGACATTCTTCATCTGTCCCCAAAACTAAAGCCTCCTCATTCCCTCACTTTGCCTGTGGATTATACATCTTGGCCATATATTCTTAACCTCACAAAATTAAGATTTACATCCTTTTTGACGTTTAACAAGGGTGCTGAAACCTTCATATATGGGAACTGACAGTATAATTTTATTTTATTTTTTTATCTTGGTTGATGTATGTATCCTATACGTTTTAGTGTTAGGGTTATGTGTCAGATGCAAAAACCCTGTTGCTTTTATTCAAACATATTCAGACAACTTGAATGTGCCAGAAAAACGCCCACACGTTATGCCCACATGCCTCATTTTGCATATGTATTATATATCTGGTTCTTCTACAGTCTTGAAAAGTGTGAAATAGACTTAATAGTGTAGACTTAATTCCCTAATTAATTTTCTTAAAGATAAAAATCTGATTTCCTTTATTCTGGATGAAACTGTTCCTGTTAACTTAGATTTAAACATTGTCTTTCTTTTTCACTTGCATTGAAATGATAGATTTATTTTTTTGGATCACACTCATTGATTGGGACCCTTCAGTTACATCAAACCAAATCTGATAAATTCAAACAAAGTCAATGAGGCGGAATTTGCTGCCAATTTGCTCCATAGACCTTCTGCCATGGGTATATGCTATATGCTAAACAAAGCAGTAAAGATGCCACATTGCACATTGCTACTGCACTTATCCAAGTTTTTAGACATTTGGTGCTATGGTTCCACCTGGTGGTTGCAAAAGCTAAGGCAATACACATAAAGATTACCTTGGATGGTTATTAAAGTTAGACTAAGTTCAACAATTGAAAGTTATTGTGTTTAAATTCAGTTAAATTAATGTAAAAATAAAATAAATAATTGTACATATTTATTACTTTTGTGACTTTGTTTCACTTTTATTTCCTTTTTTTTTTCATCCCCTAGTTTTATGTACATGCCTGATAACTTCTGTCTTTTCTCCAAATCAATTTTACAAAACAGTCCGTCTACTTTGTTTAGGGTTTCTACAAATGTTTCAAAATGTCCTTAACACATTAGAGTTAGTTTGATTTTTAGGCTTAAAAAAGAAAAATTATGCATCCCGATTTTTTCACATTAGGTTTAAAGTACATTTACTTATGTTTTAAAAGTCTTAAATCTAACTTGTTGGAGCAAACAATGTTATTTTGACAAACAGTGTCTCAATACAAGGGTTGCTGGTTTTTATCATAGCTTTATTCATTTATTTTTTCTAGGGTATGAACCTCTGATTTGGTAGCAGGACTTATATATGTTTTAAATCAAGATTTTGGACATAGATCTTAGTTTTTAAAACAAAAATGTAATTTTTCAGATCATCTGCTTGCTTGGTGGGATTAAGCTTCTTAACTCCATGTGTAAATAAGTCATATTTATAAAGTATCCTCTAACTTTTGTTCAGTCATAATGTGAAACAACCAAATTCAGCCACATGTCTTCAGAGTCATCATTTCCAGCCAATGAATGGAAGTACTTCATCATCCAAAATCCCTGTCTGCATTCCACGCTTCATGCTAACATCTACTTCCCTTTTCCAGGAGTCAGAATGGACACACAAATAGCCCAGGGAAGTTAAAAACATCCCATTTGTGTGTGGGGGGTGGGTGGGTGTGCTTGCAACTCTGTGAAAAAGCGCTTCCTCCCTTTGCTCTCCGATTCAGCTGGACCTCCGATGGCCTCTCTGGAATGTCAGTCGGCGCACACAATAACCCTGCCTTCACGTCCAATGTCAGTTCGTAATGACAGAAGCATCCAGGGGTCAGGGAACAAGGAGTTGATCTGTGCATTCAGGTCACGTATAACATTGTTGGAAAAAAAAAAAAGAGAAATTATGAAACCTTTGAGTATGTAATTTATAGCCGTATTCATTCAAAATAAGACTTTTTTCACCATTTATAGAAGTCATAGCAAACTATCAATTTTTCTATTTTACCTGTAACAGATGCTAATATTTTTGCCTTTAACAGATGGCTTATAAACTCACATTCAGTAGACAGCAGCTAGTTTTTTGCAGAGTTGTATGTTTTTTTTTTTCCTCCTTTTCTAAATCGAAAGTCATTCAGGCAGCGCTGCTGATTGAGGGGATTAACTTCAGGTCCTTCAGTGTGTGACAGGCTGAGTTTTGTTCTGACCCTGTCAACATAAACTCCTAGAATAAGCAAAACAGACTTTCTGCCGTGTGTGCACCTCTTACACACGGAAACAAGGCAAGGGAAAAATGTATATTTTAGAGCAAGGCTTTACAAAGTTAATGTCTAAAGCAACCCTGAGGCATGCAGGTGTCAGATGGCCATCTTCACTTTATTCAATAGACAACACAACAATATGTTTGCAGCTGAGCAAAGCAAGAAAGGCTGGAAATTGGGAGTAATGTGAGATTTATTTATTTTTTTATCTTAAAAATGTTAGTTGTGTCTGATAAACGCCCTTTATCTTGATGCTCTGAGCAGTTAAAATTGACATATTTAATCAAATGTTTGCTCTAATTTTTTAATATACAACTTTACATCTTCAATAGCTCTTGGTTTTCATGATACATTTGTTCAGAAATGTTTTTATATCATAGGTGGATCCAATCTACTGACCTCTGGCTATTCTTGTATGTATATTTTAAATTTGATTAGATGACTCATTTCATTCACATTTTAAGCATCGTCGTATTAACACGAAACCAAATCTGAAACTGATTTTTCATCCTTTTTAGTTTTAAGAGGGTTTACTAAGTGGATCCAGTTCATCTTTCCCCCCAGGATTAGCTAAGGAGCAGAGGGAGTCAGGATAGGAGGAGAAAGTGGCTGGTCACTGAGGACACATCCGGTCTCTGGTGTGTGAAGAGAAAAACAAAGCAGTGTGACTGCGGAACAAAGACGTGGTCTGGAGCTGAGATTCTGCAGACTGGTTGGCCCCTCTGTCTGGAAGTGTACGTGCTGCAGGGCAGGACTTGGGTTCTGAAGGGATGCTGGGGGCGGGGAGACTTTTGTTTGAGGTCTGACTGCCAGCTGCCAGTTTGTCTTACACCTCACACTGGATGTATCATACTCTTCCAGTATATTCCAGCTCATCTAAATCTTTCTCCCTTATTTGGTTTTGATCAACAAACACCTGGCCAGGCTTGGATTCCTTAATATCTACATTTCTTCCTCCATCTCTGACCATCTGCTCTGCAATCTGCCCTCTTCCCTGTTCTCCTTACACCGTCCTTCACTTCTCCCCTCCATCATTCACATGTTGGTGGGCAGCAGAACAATATCCAGGGGGTCATGGTGACCGGTAGCCCCCTCCCTGTTGTAACTTCCCACTATTGTTCCTGCTTCAGCTGCTTACTGGCTCCTCCACTTTATTAACCGCTCACAGACTGGCTTAATCACCTCTGTTCACGTTCGTCTCCACGATCCCAGCATGAGGGGAATCTCTGCGAACCTGAGTACCTGCATGTAAGCCGGATACCTTTGAGGAC